ATTTCCTATCATCTGTCTTTTATTATGCGCTTTATTTAATGTTGGGCTTCTTATGTAAGAGGAACCAGGCAGGGTGTCAGATTTCTTTCACTTAACATTATGGTCTCAAGGTACATCCATTTTGCTACAAATGACGCAAGCTCATCCTTCTTTATGGCAGAGGAATACTCCAGCATGTATAAATACCACATTTTAAAAATTTGTCTGTTGGTGTGCGTATAGGCTGTTTCCAGGGTCTGGCTATTATGACCTGCACAGCTGTAACCGTGGTTATGCATGTACCACTGTCACGTGATCTCTTTAACTTGTTCAGAGTGACACCTAGAAGGGGAATAGCTGGCTCAACAGGAATTTTTATTTTCAGTTTTTGAGGAATCGCCATATTGATTTCCATAATGGTTGGAGTAGTTTACATGAACTTATTTTTTTTTAAAATATATATATGTGTGTGTGTGTGTGTGTGTGTGTGTGTGTGTGTGTGTGGCCAGCTCAGCCCACCAGGGGGCGGGCTGGCTGGCATGTGGTGCTGGGGGATTGAACCGCAGTCCCTGTGCTTTGCTGAGCTTGTTCTAAGTAGGTGCTTTAGACCACTGAACCATCTCACCAGCCCTGACAAAGATTTTCCTCCCATAAAGTCATTTAAGTGAAAGTCTAAAAATTTAAGGAATCAGTTTCTACAGAAAAACTAATAAGTTGTTTTGAACAACAGCATCACTGAATACATGTACAGTTGCTAAAGTGATTACTCTGAGGCAAACTACTTGTATTTGGGTGAATATGTATCCCTAGATTTCCTCACACAGTGGTGTAGAGGTCAGAGTTGGTTCCGACATCACAATGTTCAGGACAGATGTGCCCAGATAAGAATCATCTAGCCCGTAGCTCCGTGGTCTAAGCACCTGTCTGGCAAGTGCAAGGACCAAGGTTCGATCCCCGCCACTACCAAATGCTGTACTGACCCAGGACCCAGGTGCGCTGTGCCGGCCACCCAGACCAGGCATGGTGGTGCACACCTTTAATCCCAGTGTTGGGGAGGCTGAGACAGGAGGATCACTATAAGTCTGTAGTGAGCCCATATACCAAATAAATAAATAAATAAAATTTAAAAAATCATCTGCCCCAAAATATCAGTACTGTGAAGGTAAAGGAATCCTGTTTTAAACAAGTTGTTACTTTATTTTACTCATGTTTTAAAGTTTCACTTCAAAGTTTCTGATCTTACTAAGTCATTGGGAAGGAATGAATCAAACACCAAAATTTTTTTTGACTAGCACTCAAGACCTCTTGGAGATTTTGTTTCTGTTTAAATAGTCAGGGTGTTGCATCAGAGGGAACCAGATCCAGGTAGAAACTGGTGGAGCGTGGATACCAGGAAGCACACAGATCCAAACCGAGGCCCAAATTTGCCTAGCAGTCTTGGGATTCTTACCTAGGAGATATTTTCTTCCCCAACGCTAGGGACTGAGATTCCACCTGACTTCTAATTGTCCAAAGTCAGAACCCCAACACTGTAGGGCCTTTATGCAGCAGTAGGGAGGGCTCTTCGTGTCCCCCAACCTCAGCCCCGGTCTTGTCCTGGCTCAGCTGGCCTCTAGGTGCCTTCTCAGGAGCCACTCTTGCTTGCCTTTTCCCTTTGTTCCCCATGGTGCTCTTGTTCTGTCCCAGCAGCACTTTCTGCATCCCTTTTCTACATTCTTATGGTTGTTAACCTCTTTGGTCTTCAAAACTGTGAGTCATAGTTGGTAAGACTTTTCCATACCAAGGTCATAAAAGTGTTCTAGCATGTTGTCATCTACTAATTGTATTTTTAAAATTTAAATTGTTGGCTTATGATATACTGTTTGGATTCTATATTTTTCCCCTGAGGTCTGTCAAATCATGCTACACTGTTAATTAAGTAACTACCGATAATTCAGTGCTCATTGAATTGAGATGCCACCTTTATCATGTACCATATATGCTGCTTATTTACTTATGTCAATAAACTGTATTTTATAATGCTGGAGGAAAGTTACAGTTTTTCCTGTGGTAAATCTAAATTTTCAAATTGTGGCAAAAGGTACATAATGTAAAACTTACCCATTTTTAAAACCATTGTGACCCACTTTAAATGTAAAATCTAGTGACATTAAGTACTGTTGCATTGGGTGTTAAAAGTTGACTATTAGTCAGTCCACCACCTCTTTATTTAAAAAAAATCTTTTATTTATTTATTTGTTGGTGCAGGGTCTTGCTATGCAGCTTGGACTCATAGTGATCGTCTTAGTTTCAGCCTCCTCAGCACTGGGACTATAGGCATGTGCCACCATATCAGGATTCTGGCGCCTATACAGAATGTAGTACCAGGGATTGCACCCAGGGTCCTTGCTTGCCAGGCAGGCAATTAGCCTGCCAATCTATCTCCCTAGCCCTACCACCTTAATCTTTCTAAAAGCACAAAGCATCAATTTCAGTGGATTGTTTTGCATTGCCTTCTCTGTTTCTGTGGCTTATTTATTCAAATAGAGCAAGTTTCAACTACAAAAATAGATGAGTGAGAGAAGTCTGAATTGTAGTCTATGGAAAGAGAACACAACTCTACAAGATTGTTTTCAGTCATCCATTGCTGGGGTTAAAAGTTACATTACAATATTAGATGAGTGACAGAGAGATATTATTACTGCATTTCACACATATATTAAATATCAAGCCTCAAGCTTTCAACATGTTTTGGTTTCCATCATCACATTTTGGACTTGTGGGTATATCTCAGTGGTGGGGCATGTGCTGAACATGTTCAAGGCTTGGGGTTCAACCTCCTGCACTAACACCCCTCTAAAAAAAATCATCTCCATACATTCAGTGAACTCTAAGTCATCAACAGCCTTTATGTCATTCCAGCTGTTGGTAACATACTAATTAGTTTTTCATTTATGTATAAAATTAGGCTAAAATATCATGTTAAAATCGGTAAAAAATTAAAGAAATACAAAGGTAGATAAAATGTTATGCATCTAATGATAATAATGTTGACTGAATTTAATACAAGTGCTATTTGATAGGCTGAGGTGATAAACAAGGCAAGTTGAATGGGTCAACCCTGGAAAGAATTCAAGAGTATCTTTGTGGAAGTGCAGTTTTTTCTGAAATTATCTAGTGTTTTACAACTAACGTAAATTTTATTATATCATATATAATTGATAGTTCAAACACTGAATCTGTTTTTGGAATTATGTTAGTAGTTGCAAACATATCTGAATGCTTCAAAGCAGTGTATTAATTGATATTAGTCAAGTTACAAGTCACAGTGAAGTTCCTCAAAGCCTAATGGAGGGCTAGGGAAGTACTTTAGTGTGTAGCACCTGCTTATCAAGTAAGAGGCTCTGAGTTTAATTCCTGGTATCAAAAAGAGAACAAAGAAAATCCTAATGGAAACACTAAGCCACTGATGAACACACAATACATATTTTCTATATGGTTTTGTGTGACAATATAAAATTATATATATGATATATATTATTTGATATGTCTCTCTTCTATATGGAAGAGAAAAGATAATCTGGTAGTTCAGGATAGAATATTGGACCTCATTATTGGAATATTATCTTGAAAGAAGGAGTGGACTGAATCCAGAATTAAACTGAAATTATCATGCAAGGGCCTGAGTTCAATCCCCAGTCCTGCCAAAAACAAAATAAGACAAAATAAATAAGTAAATAAATAAAATAAACTGGAATTATCAACACGAATCATGGATGTCTCTATTACTAAAATAATTCAGGCTGTATCATATTCTACTCTACCCATGACCAGAGTTGCTATAAGGTATTATAAATGTGGTTCCCACAATTCCCAGGATTAAGTTTTAAAGTATTAATGAAATACCCTTCTCTGACAAAACTAAACAAAAAAAGAGGATACAACCATTTTGTATCTGTATATTCAAAGTAGGATAGATATACAGCTACATTCTCTTAAGTCAGTGAATAGAAAGATTTGTTCTAATGGTGTTTGTGGACAGGATATCATGTCTGCATCTTGTACAATGAATAACCACTAAGACAACAATATGCAATGTATTACTTATTGAAACTGTCCTACTCATCGGTGTGAAACTATCTCACTGCCATTTGTTTCTCAATAAAGTTATTTTAAAAATAAAAATAAAAAAAATACTGTTGCATTTTGCATAGCCTTCATCACATCCATCTATAGAACTCTTTCATCTCCCACCACATGGATTTGGATCAAATACCCTAGTAATTTGCTACACCCCATCCACTTGTATGGTGTGTTCTGATTGCAGAGTTGTCAAGGTGTGGGAAAGCATGCATGTTAGAATTACTACACACAGTTCCAAATTCCTAAATGTATTGGTGTGTCTTGGGCTATTCTATTCTCTTTATTTGTCTCTTCACCTCCTAATGCTGCACTGTTGTAATTATTTAAGTTGTATAACATCTTCGAATATAAAATAGTTTCTCCTCACTGGTCATATTTCAGAGAAGACTTCTTTTTCCAGTTATTCTTGTCATGCCATCCACATAAATGAAGCAGCATCTCCTTGGCTCTTGTGGGTTGCTCTTTTTTCCTTCTGCCCTAGTTCCACTTGCACATGGAAGGTCTTCTGGGCCTGAGGGTGAGCTCTAGAAGTGGTGTACCTTCTCTCAAGACTGTGTATTTTCTAGGCCTTCTTCTCCTGGGTTTTTACTTCAGCATGGCTGTGGGGGATGGAGTCCATTCCTGACCTGTTTTCTCCATAAAAGGAAGCTACTCCCCTATCTTTCTGAGAATCGTTTAATCTTTTTATGTCTTGTATATAGGTTGTCATCCTTTTTCAGCAAAGCTAGCCATAGAAAGATGGAGAATCTGAAATGTTTGCAACGGCATCTTTCTTTAAATATAGTTCACTAATGTGTTTACCTTCAGTAGAAGTTTGTTGATCTGCATTTTTTCCTATTAAATTTTTTATCATTTTAAATATTGTATTGCTAAAAGGCTGTCTATATTTGCATTTATAGATCACAAGCTCCTTTCTGTTTTGTTTCATCAAAGAACCCGTTAGAAGAACCAATAAATCTCACATCCAATGGCCTTCAGTGATCTTACGTCGAGAACTGTGCGTCTTTATGATAATTGGATCAGCGATGCTGGTAAGTAACCAGATTTCTTGAGGGAGGCTGATCTCCCCTCTTAGGTGGTATCCCCCGTGAAGCAGAGGCCACTGAAACAGAATGAGAAACTTTGTCACCTCACGCTCCCCTGTGATGAATTAACAAGGGTTTCAGGCAGACTCGGCCATACATAGAGCTACCCAGATACTTGTTATAATGTTTATAAAGAAGAAATAGCCTGACTATGAAGGGAAGGAAACCAGTTAATAAGTGATGGAATATTCCAACTTCATAACCATTAACAGCGCTTTTGCAGGGACGGTGCTCTTTGAGTTGATTTTGTCTTAATGCTCCTAAGAGAAATTAGGTTTACTGCCAAGCACAGTTTTAGCAGTCTCCACTGGGAGAGCTGCGGCCCCCAGAGGGTCATCAGAAAAAGCAGGGAGTGTTTTCTGGAACACCCCTGAGTGATTCTGAGATGCCTGCTCTCTTCCCTTGTCCATTAAAATATCAGTGTTTTAGAAGAACACTTAATGCTATAACAAGAATTTTTAGATATGTTAAAATAAAGTAAGTTATAAAGCATTATATGTATTTCCTCTGTTGATTTATTGTGTCTATTTGCTTTTCTTTGTTTGGGGCTCAATTTTGTTGTTCTTGTTGTATTGTTTGAGTGTTGCAATTTGAGCTCAGGGCCTTTTGCATGCCAAGCACATGTTCTAGCGCTGAGCTATGCTATCAGTAATTTTATTTACTTACGCACGGTCTGTATTTTCATAAGCCACAGCCAATGTGTATTGTTTTTAACCCTTATGGCTTTAAATGTAGAACATAGGTAAAAATATTTTTAAATAGATAGGAATCTGGCCATATTGAAAGCTTACATTGACCTTAGATATCATTGAAACTATTATCTTGCTTTATAGTAAAAAGCTTAGACTCAGAGATGTGACCTTTAATGGTTACTGTATGGAAGAAAGACTAGAACCTGTATTTTCTTATTATAATTGGTATTCTGAATTTAAAATATGTTTCTAAGTTACACATACAACCATATCCACTAATTTAAATTGCTGCATATGCACCAACTATAATCTCTTATCTCCCAAATTCAGGAGGAAAAAATGCCACTTTTTGTTATCTAACTGTTGAATTATGCTTCAGTTTCCAGTGATTTTTGCAAAAACAGTGTGTTTCAAAGTCGACATCTTTCTTAGGAGACTGCTAAAGACCAATTTTATTTCACTAAGATATGCCCCAGTAGTTGTGCCCTTGAGAATTTGCGACACTTTTTTTTTTTTTTTTTGTATTTGCACAGGGTGTGCAGAGCGTTCAGGGTCTCACACTAGATCGGACTCATAGTGATCGGCCTGTTTACAGCCTCCCAAGGGCTGGGATTACAGGCGCACGGCACCATGCCATCTCAATTGCCCTCTCAGCATGCCCTGGGGCAGGCCTGGCATGGCAGGCCCAGGTATTGAAGCCCCGGCCCCTGTACCTGCTTGCAGGTGCTTTAATCCAATGAGCTTTTTGGCTGGCCCTTCCAACACTTTTGTTTTTAGCATCCCATAAGTCACCTTTACCCTGGTAGGGAAAGAAAGTGACTATTTCCACATTATCTTTTATTTCTGAATTTTTATTATATTTTATTTTTATGTGTTTAGTACAGGGTCTCACTACACAGATCAGACTTCTAGTGATCCTCCTGTTTTCGCCCTCCCAAGTGCTGGGATTCCAGGTGTGCGGCACCACGCCCACTCTCAATTGTCATCTCAGCGCACCCCGGGAATGGGGCCTGCACGGCACACCAGGAATTGAATCCTTGACCCTGTGCCTGCCCAGGAAGGCGATTTAGTCTGCTTACTTATCTGGCTGGCCCAATTTCTGAATTTTTCAACTTGTATTATAATAAAAAGACTATACACATTTCTTTTGAGGTCATCTTTCTCTAAAGATTCATAGGAGCCTTCATAAATTCAATATATAAGTACTCATATATTAATTGCCTGATTTAAATACTGATGTTTAAAAACTGATTTTGAAAGTAAACATAAATCTTGCTCACTGAACTCTACTTGAATGTGGGAGCCAGGTGGATTTGGGTAGTTTTCAAAATAGAGCTATTTGGAAGAACAGATCCCCAGCAATCTAGATCTTGCTATTCCCGATCCCAAATGCAGGAACCCAAGGGAGTTAGGTAATCAGTGTCCTCACTCAAGAGCCAGATAGAGTTAGATGATGGTGATTATTAACATTGTCCCAGAGTACAAAATCTATTATATGCTACTGAAGCATTCCACTTCCGCTTTTAGCCATAGATCCACATTTTCCTTGTTATTAGGAATGCTTTGCCTGAAAAGCTGAGTAATCCTAGATCAGAGATAGGGATGAAAAGGGGTGAGAGGTCATTAGGATCCCAAGGAGAGTCCTGGCAGGCACCGCAAACAGGGCAGTGAAGATGTGCCACAGAGAGAGACCAGGAAGAAAGAGGGCACCACATGTCTGAGGTGATGCTGACTGTCATCTTGGGAGAGGACAGAGGGTGTAACAGTATGGAAGAGGACCTCCATTTAGGGTCCTGCGCTGCTGTAGACTGACTAGGGGATCTTGAGCAAAGCATGCAGTGTGTGGATTTCAATTTCTTTGTTAGTAAAACAGATTGGGACTAGCACCAAACAACTACTCGATTATATGCAGAAAGGGCTCTGTTAATTTGAGAAGTGCCCCAACACTAATGATGGATGTCACACATGATGCAAGATGTCATCTTTAGAAACTTTTTTTCTTTTCTTTTCTTTTGGCGGAACTGGGGGTTGAACTCAGGCCTTGCACTTGCCAGGGAAGCACTTATTCCACTGAGTCATCTTTAGAAGCTTTTAATGTAGTATGTCACTTACAACCTCGTTTTCTTTACCTTTTTTAATTTTAGTTTAGCAGGCTTATGAAGGCTTTGTGCTGAGATTTACAATTTTTTAAAAACCTAGTAGGGTACAACAGGAGAGTTATTTCCTCCTAACTAGTGTGTTATTGGTCTCTGAGTGTCATTAACCATCTTCTCTGAGCCTCTTAGTCCAGTCTTGTTTCATGTCTCCTGGGAAGGTCTAAACCCATGGTCAAGAGGGGAGCATTTCAAGAGTATTCTTGGCTTTGGCGCTAATCTTACACAGCTTCGGGAAGGCTACCCATTGATTTTCTGATCGCATGCATTTTTTAGCTCATGTGGAAAATTTTATGACTATAAACATGGAAAAATGGTTTAATTAACACCTAAGATGAAAGAGGATTTGTTATGATTCATAGATATGAACTGCCAGATTTGGAAATTATGCTATTATAATGTTTTGGACTATGGAGAGGTGAAAACCTTTTTGATGATGAAAAGCAGTTCTCTTTCTGTCTCTCTGTCATGTACACACACACACACACACACACACACACACACACACGCTGTGGTGTTTGTAAGAAAGCACTTCTTAAGATGATTGTAAACTACATAAACTCTTCAAACATATACTAATATGAAAAGCGACCCTCTTTATGTCTGGACAGTAGTAATGACTTTGCAGACTTGCTTGCAGACATCTTTCCTTGGAAGACAATGGAGCATGCCACTTTGAAGCCTTAATGCTTGAAAACGTACTTGCAGTTTCCTTTGCCTCCCCGCTTCCTTATTTTATTGGTTCTTGGAATCTTAAAGGGTATGCTTTGATCTAGTAGTACTTGCTACTTAAGAAGACAACACTGTCTTATTCAT